TAAACCGCCAGAAGCGTTTACGTAGAAACCAATCATTTTAGCTGGTCTCGCTTTAGATTCCAGGGCAACAGCAGATTACTCTAGGCTTTCTAGATTTTTACAACGTTTGGTAGTCGGCATGGATAGAAATCCGAATGAAAGTTGATTTTGTAGCAGACATTAAAACTATTGATTCTGTCATCCTTTGCCTGAGCATTTATATGGTACAGATGAGTCTTGTTATTCGACGATGCTCGTCATGTAGTACCAAAAGTGTGTTGAGCTTGTATAATTAGATTAAATTAGCTTACCGAGCATTTGCCCGAGTCAGTCAGTTCGAATTAATGAAACTCGTTCCGAATGATTTTTGTAATCTCAGGGAATGAGCAGGCTATATGAGCAAGTACCGGACTAAACGGGTCGTATAGGTAAACGCTGACTAAAATAAGTACCATCAAACTTTGAACATGTTTAAAGTTACACACTCGGTTCAACTGGAACTACTAGACTTTTTCGTGAGTTAGCTATGTACTTTTTCATATTTTATCGAACGAATTTGTCTTATCAGTAGAAAATGAACTATTTTCAAAATACAATCCAGCCCACTGCGTCATGTTACACAGGGAGGAAAGAATAAAAATTAGTCTAAAGTTGGATAAGACTTAAGTTGACATTTTGGAAAAGATGACTTAGGAAATGTACATTACCGGTTGATACGGGTGCCTTTTTTTAGTTATAGTCGTGCTTCCCTAAACCTATCTTCGCTACTTTTAGGCATTTTGTCTCGCCGCGCTGCAACCCTATTTTCTCTTGTTGTGTAAATTTATCAAATAAATTAAGATGACGCAGAATCAGCAGTGAAATCGATAAATGTATTTCATATGGAAAACCACTATTATGGATTATGCATCATCGCAGATCGTTCGTTGATCAGAATTACGAACGACCACGCTAGTTGCACAAGTATCAAGGTGATTAAATTGGTTCTGGGAAACGGTGTGCAGCCTGTCACAGTTCCTTCTCATCCCTCAAACATGCCTATATTTTAACTGTTCGAAAGTCGGCTTTTTAATGTCAAAATTTTTCGAGAACTTAGTAAACGAAGAACTAAATAAAGCGTTATTTTCGTTGGCCGAGACCCCGGCACTTTCTGGCAAGACAAGCATTTTTTTCTTCTAGCTTTGTCGAATGGCCAAGTTATTTGCATGAACTTGTATACAACAAAATGTTTATTGTTCATGCAGATTACTGCTGTATTCGCCGATCTAGCTATTCTCCGTGAGAACCTCATACGATTGTATAAAACCGCAAAATCGAAAAGCAGACTTCAGAAGTGAAGCTTCACGGTGACTTTTACGTGCAAATTATATAAATAGCGGACCTTATTTCAGCGACTCATATAGTGAATTTCGAGGAATTAATGAATCTTTGTAAGCCCCCGTTAAAATATAAGATAGAAAAACTCTTGGGAGAATATAGTACCGTAGTACACACACACTGGCAAAAACAATTAAACAACGATACTTCTTTTTCTCCCATCGAAACAGTTGCCTACAACTACCGCGTTAGCTAAACTGTAAAAAAACTAAATTAAAGACAAAAGCACATTTCAAATTCATCTAATCGATCGAACCGTCTGCGAGTAGATGGCCGGTCTAACGACCCTAAATATGCGTATGCAATGATCATAAACGTTAGTTATGTTGATGATAGGATCTATACCTGCTTATTCGATTTGCAACGACTCCGGCTCTTAGTAGTTTTACAGAGTTGTTACCACTGTTATTCGACTCGTTTGTGTCTGTCGTAGCACACACAGATCACCGTTGACAATGATCATCTGGTGATTTCTTAGAACAGGCAGATGCTATTCCATTAGTAGGTCCAAGAGAGAACGAACGATGAGGTAGCCGTGGGGTCTAGACACGATAATGAGTAGGTGAAAAGCAAAATCGACAGTAAAATACCTATCAGAACATGAATCAGTACACTGTGCTGTCGTTGAGACCAGTATCGTTCTTCAGATGAGGCCCAACAATCGAAGTGTATAGAATGAAGCCTTTTGTTATACATACTGTAAGAATGAGGCAAAGCCCTAATCTTGTTCGATTCTACATTATGCATTAGACAATCGGCTACTCCATTGTGCTTAAAGCATGCGCAAATTTTCCGGAGACGGAACGCGCCGTATAATTATATAAACGTCAGCATATATTTTTTTCTGTCGGCGACGTCATTAGCATTTCAAGGACTGACAATGAACAGAAGGTAGAGATCTTGGTTCCTCTATCAGCCGAACTCCCACCGTAATTTTGATTGTTAAAATGTAGGCTTATAAAAGCTATCCTCTAATAGGCATTATCTGAAACGTAGACCTTGGTCAAAGTAAGACTATACCGATTTGATTAAACGTTGCCGAATTTGCTGCACGACCACTAAGTATAGTATTCTCCCCCATATCATTTAGATTGGCGATCCCTATAACGTCCGTAAATTAAACAACAACTCTCGATGCCATAGCTTACAACAGACAAATAAGGTAAATACTCTTACCACCTTGACAGTCACTGTTACCTTTCAAAATGATACACAACAATGTGAACATCAAGGCGGGGACGAGCACATAGAGCCTTATATCGGTAACGTGGTAAGCGATCTTCCGCTAAACTTACCGAGCTCTCCGCTGTCGAGGCTGTCAGCTTTAATTGGCCATAACAACAAACGGGAGTGGCAGCGCAAGAGACAACAATATGAAGTGCATTTAGCCCGCAGTAAGCCAGTTTGCTGAAGCTGAATGCACGCATTTAAGCAATAAAGATGAACTAAGGAGATTATTCAAGCGATGTCTAAGACAAGGATTGCTGTCGCATGCTTGTTCTATCTCTGTAATGGTGGTATCAGGCAAAAAAAATGATTGAGACATTGCAAGTTGCCAAACATTCGGGTAGTTGGTTAATCTCAGTTTTAGAGACTCACCACTAGCACAAGGTTTTCACTACCTAGACAAGCCAAACAGCTTCTTCATTGTAGCTTTGTTGAATAACTAACTGGGTTATTTGCATACGATAATGGCATAGAAGAATTTCATATTTTAAAATTCTTACGTATTTACTGGCGGCTCACGTTACCCTATTTTGGTTTTACTAAGCTTACTTTGTTGGGGCTGTACGTTTCAAAAACATAAGTATCTCCAATAGGCATCAATGGGTCATCATACAACTACTTCTCGGGCCACAAAAGGTAAATACACTGGCGTACTTTTTTTCAGGAGTGGCCAACGCAGTTGAATTAACTAAATTCTGCGCTTCAAGTTATAGCATGCTTTGAGTTAACAACAACCAGCTGTCAAGCACAATGTGAAATGTATTTTGGAGCAGTCAAATCTTTTCAAATCAAAATTTCTGTCATAATGGACGGGATTTGTCTTTTGCTATTGCTATTTTTATTGGTAGTTTACATGACCGCACCACGTTCAAACTGAAGCTGTAAGCTTCTAAGATGATGGCGTACCTGCTTGTTGAATTTGGGGACACCTACTGAGATGGGACCCAGTTTCCCGAAACCCGCTGTAGATAAACGATGCGTTTAGTGTTAGGTTTAGCTAAGCCTTACTGTACGCAAAATATGAAACAATAGCCCACGGACAAAACCTATGCTGGAAATGTTAGTACCTTTAATAGACTCTTCAGTGGAATACAGGTAATATCATATAGTAGTGCTAGTTGATGAATCAAAAAAGAATTCTAAAGAAATTCATAGGGATTCGTGGATGAACACCGTGTTTTTGTAGCCCAATCCAAAACGATCCATTATCAGCAGTACAGAAATACTACAAGAATATTAAAAACTATTTTGCGACGCGTGTCAGCATTCAAAATATCGCCATTTAGAGGCAGGAAATCAGTCAAGATCGCTGAATAATGACATACGTACATACAGGGTAAATAATGCGACTACTAACTTCATGTAAAATATGCAAGTACGATAATAATTAGAGCACAAAAACTTTTTCCGTGTCACTAATGTCACTTTATGGCACAACTTACATGTTCTGCATGTCACTACAATTAGAAGATCTAAGTTAGCACTGCAAACACAGACGTACTAGAAGTGTCTTGTGACAAGTTCTTGTGGGCCGAAAATGTGCGGGCGAAAGGTTGGCTGATTTCGAAAGGTCACTGCCTGCTGAACAGTGATAAAACAGTGATTTTCTGCAGTGGTCTACAACAGCTTACACTTGGCCTGCGTTACGTATACCAAAGTTTAGCAGTGAGGCTATGAAGTTACAATCAATCAGCGAAACAGTCAACGAATATTTCGGAGATAATCTTACAAGCCACTCATGACGCATGAAGGGTAATTAAGTCAATAGCCCTTTTCAGTCTTGATTCTTACGTAAGCCGCGACAGCCAGCACGAATTAACAAAATTATAGATATAATAAATATATCGAAGAATGTTTTAAAACAGGGAAATGATTTTCTGGACAGTATATGAATGAAGAAATAATAACTGTGATAGCATCATAATTAGATAAATAGAATTACGCCAGATATGAAGTATAATCGGAACTTGATAATAATAAATGGGTATCAAGAGAACGATTTCGTTGTTTATAATAGAATACGTTTCGAATCGAGGTCACGATCAGAAGTGGAGACCAATTGCCTTTTTCTTGTAATTAGTCCGCTGTGTAGCACCGGACGAGGGAAAATAAAAATAAAAAAAGGTAAACATATTTATTTGCTTAGCCATTTGACAAGGAGAATGTTACTATTTGTTGCTTATTATCTGTATTATTTGTTGCTTGTTTTCTCAGAGCTAGATGGATTACGGGTTAGACGAGACACAGCCAATTCATATTTATTTGATGAAAATAGCAACAATGTAATTCCAACTGTAGCTAAATTTGTGGGTACGTTTCGGTAACTTTTTCACGTGCCCAGCAAAAAAAAAACACAGAAATGATTTAGTCGACTTCAAAACACGTTCATAGCCATCTCTATTGTTCATCGTCTGTTTAGCTCTCGGCAAGTATTTTGATTTATGCAACTTCGGTTTCTTTTATTATTATTTTATATTATAGGGTTCGTAGTAATATTAGTAATAATGAAAACAGAAGGCATGGGGGACAAATAAATGAAACCCGCGAAATCAGCAGCAACACGTCAGACAAGTTACGAGTTAAACCAATTTGGCCATTCTGTAAAGTCATTAGGTAACTACTGGATATTCTACCACGAGGCAACCGTGTACAACAATTGTATTTAATATGTCGTGGAATGAACAGCCTGCGCGATTACCTAATAACGAGCCTAGGAAGAGTCGCATCGTTCAAAATAAACGCTTTTAAGTATCTAACAAAAAGTAGATCGTCCAATAATCAATCCAACAGCGTGTCGACGTTTCTTCGACAGATTTCGGGATAGGTGTTTCTTTTATTTTAGGATGGATTAAACCAGAAAAGCAGCTTTGGCTTTCTTTTTGAAAACAAAATCTTTAATATGTATTTTGATTTATGTATTATACATTTTGAAAATAGGACTTTGAATTTACGCACAGACAGTATTTCCTGTAATAAAACAAAACATCAAAATTCGTCCAGAATCACTCTAAGTTGCAAAGTCGTGACCTCTGCAATGACCGATTTCACTAGAGCATATCTAAAGTTTATGCATCTTGCGAATTTACAATCTTGTACGCGATATAAGTGGATCGTCTGCAATAAGTGGATGTGAGTACCATGACACGCCACAAAATACATAATGAAATCCCCGAAAATGAACGGAATGCGCGTATAAACTACGCAAGCTAATGGATACCATTAATTAACTAATTTGTCATAATCCAAAATCCAACCTTGCAGCGCTTACAGCCTGCTAACTAGTACACAGCTGTAGCTATATTTCATGACATACACACAACTTTTTGAATATTCACTTTATAGTAATGTATGACACAACAACTCTAGTCGATAATTATTCCCTCTAAATTTGACTTAGAAAACTGAAATAATATCTTTTTCCTAAAGTTGCTGATACAACCTGTGTAACACGACGGTAGAGAATAGAGGGCAACCCCATTAGGTACGAGGCTTCTCTCAGTCGGACGACAATTCACCAATCGCAAACAGTGGGAAACAGAACAAGAAGGAACCAAGTACTGTTATTGACATAGAGTATTAGAGAGGTTCAATATTAACGATAGCGAGGCCATTTCAGTACCAAGATATTATGTGTCTGTAATAATAGTGTCTTTACAATTGCCGTGCCAGCTCTTTTTCAACTGTAGGGGTATTGTTATTGTTTATTACTGTGGGCTCTTTGTCTTGTAAGTAGAAAGCCTACTAAATGGTCAGTAGCACAAGGTCAACCCAAAGGATTACTGCTCGCAAAATTAAATTTTTTTTAAGTAATCTACTAAGTCATTCACACGGATCTGTGACCGGTTGATAAATTTTATCACAAGAGTACAAGCCTTCGACAATGGGCAGTTGTTTTAACAAAACCACACTACAAACAACATGTTAATGCAGATACTATTAACGCACCGAACGATCCTTTTGCACACGCATAGAATCAACCCCTAATGAAGCAAAGTACTTACATTAAAACATTAAATATTGTTCGTATTTCTAGACCCTTTCCAAGTCCCGCCAGCTATGTTGGGGCTACATGGAATGTAGCGTAAGATCCTATCCTATTACACGGAGGACGTAGATCGCTTCTTGTAAATCAGTCTTTGGCTTAGTCATTTTTAGTGATACAAAAATGGAACACAAGCGTATTATAACTAAAAGAAAACATACAAAGAGGTAGTTTTATTCGGTCAATAGCGAACAATTCTAACATCAACATAAATCGCTGTAAAGTTAGCCATAGCAAAAATTTACAAAGAATAACTACATGATCAATTCGCGTACTTAATCGAACTGACAGAAGCATTTTCCCTCATTTTTTTAAATTGCTTACTCTGCGTTTCCGAGATGCAACATTCATGAATCAATATCAGCATTAAATTTCTAGCGACGTCGTCGTTGTCAGTTACCATTACCATTATCACAACAACTACCAAATTATCACCCTCCATGCACAAGCGTAGCCACAGAAGGTTTCTATGACCCTAGCTTAAAATAATGATTGCAATACACAATGTTAGAGTTTGGGTCAATAGGCACTTTTCTTCCGTTTTTTGTAGTTAATGTGTGTGATGCTTCTTTCCACACAAATCTAAACCATATTTCGTTTACACACTAACAATGTCAGCTTTTACTTTTACACGTATATATTACATTACAAGGCATCTACGTCCGAACCCCCATGCAATAACATTCCCACCGAAAAATTGACTCTTAACGTTGACTTGGTTATAGAACGCTATGAATACTCATCCAGGACTAGGTTGCCGCACTTGTTACGAATAATGAAGTGTGGAGTTCGGGGTTATCGAAGATGAGACTTGCCGGCGCCGGTGGTTTACGGGGAAAATCGTGGACGAGATTAAAGAAACCTGTGCCTGTGAGAAACGAACGAAAAATATTATGTCTGCGTTAAATCGTTATCCACGGGTTGCGGGGAGGGTTAAACGTTAAAGAAGGCTGCAATAAATCATTTAAGAAGTGACCTAGAAGCATAACAGCGCAATGAAAGCATAAAATACCAAGTTGTGTTCATATACCTTGACGCATCGGTTTTCCAAGAATGATACATTCGCTAACACCCGTAACGTCGTCATGTTGTCCAAAATAAGCGGCGTCAAATAGATGATCGGCTGTCTTCTCAAATGAGGCAAGCATCAAAGCGCTTTCTTTCATCTTCGCGAGGCCGTGCCGTGTGATACCAACGACTTCGCCAGTTCGAGTCATCAGGTCGGCTAGTAACATTAGATGGCGCATGTCGACAGAGATACCGTGTCCCTCCATCGTTTCCCGCATTTCTGTTATAATTTGCTGCCGGGCCGCTTCAATACCTAGCACCTTTGATACCTAGAAGAATTTGAAAGCACATAATTGTCTTTTCACACAGTCTGTTGGCTTAAATTGAAACAAAAGTGCATCGAACTGTCAACATGTCAATAAAATTCAGGCCCATGTAAGAAGCCTACAAGATCGCGCGGGTCAGATCATTCTCACCATATGCATTAGTTTAAAACACGTACCGACAAGAGAAATTTCCTAGATGCTCTGGTTTGGACTTTTGGGAAACCACCTATAATTTACCTCGAGGATGTTGTTGCAACCGCTCCGTTCAGGTTTAACACCATATGTGCTTAAGACATCGAGAAGGCGATCGCTTTCTACGAGAAGTTTATAGATCGGCCGATCTGGCGTTGAATCGTCACAATGGATAACCGCACGAGTAGCCACTCCTTTGACTACAACCTGGGGCAAATGAACCATCAACTCCTGTACAATATGCGACAAATTCTGATTTGTCGGCGTCTTTGACGCGCGAATTGTGATAACAGAATTCGATTGAACGATAACGTCATTAGGTTTGACCTGGAAATGGGAGTTAGACATGATTAGTGCGTATGACTGTATGCAAAAAGTTAAAAAAAGAGATAGCAAAGAACCACATTTCCGATGGAACGTAAGCCAGTTAAGCTCTGGGCGAGATGGCTTCAAGCATCTGGTAGTGAAGAAGCACGCTTTGTGTTCTAATTAGTAATTTCTGTTTAGAATAGCTACATTTAGAAATATTTGCAGATCTCCTTTCTTACCTTGATTTTCTTGTCTAAACAAATCGCATACTTAATTGTATCCGCGGAAACCTCAAGTTGCAGAAGTCGGATACGGTCAATAGCAAGTTTGATGAGCACGAAGACCTCTTGTGGTAGATACACTTCCTCCAGGTATTCTGAGATTTCGCCTAGGGTTGTTTGTTCCACACGGGCTTTCACACTAAAATCAACCAAAAGCAATTAACGAAATGTCAGCGAGTGTCACAAACGACTTAATTAATCGCATTCATCATAACCTATTCTATCCTACGCTTGACAACAATAATCTAATTGTTTCACACTTCATTATCCTGTACATAACGTATATTTATTTTTCTGCTCATATGGCTGTTTATGAAATGCCTAATATTATGGTATGACTTTTGTTTCGGTCCGTTAAAAGTACACTAAGCCAAATTAGAAAAGATATTTACCACCGAGCAAACTCTGAATCAGTTTCATTGAGCAGAGTTGCAGTAATAATTGGAGTAGCAATAGCTTTCGATGCGTTGATAATTTCCTTTATACGAGGCACTCCTTGGGTAATGTTCATTGAAGCCACACCGGCAAAGTGAAATGTTTTCAGGGTCATTTGAGTGGCAGGCTCCCCGATCGACTGAGCACAGATTGCTCCTACAGCGGTAGCCGGTTCCAGCTGCAATGCATTATCACCAAGACTTTAGCAGCACTAATTAACTATTAAATCAGTGCATATATACACCTATTATACATCTATATTTTTAGAGAAAAAAAAATAGTATTTCCTATAACAATGTTTGCTGAATTAAAATCCTCATCGTAATACAAAAACTGTATAATCTTTACTGAAAGCAAATAGAACATGACTCGAATTCATGTTCTTTTTGACATGCGCCTCGACCACAGACTTATCTAGCATAAATGCCTGATCTAAAGCATAGGATTAGCGGCGTACAGCTGTATTTAAAATAAAACTCAATATACGAAACTGTAGGAAAGAAAAAAGTATTCGTCTGTTATCATACCTTAGCTCGAAGGTATTTTTTATGGCATGTTTTGAGAAACTCCCTAAGCTGAGTTTTGGTTTGGCGCCACGGCTCTTTGTAGATCGCTGGGGTGTTTTTTGTGATTCCGAATTTGTTCCACGAACGACTTATGCTAGTTGTCATATCTTTAATATACCGCAACACTTGATCAATGAAGTACTGTTTAACATCGCCAGAGGACCACTTCTCAGATACGATGGATTCGGCGAGCTTCATAAGTGTCTCTGGCTCAGCAGCTTCTTCGTCAGGACAGCGGTATAGGGCCTTTGTCAGCTCTAAAACTCTATCGAATACAGATTGATTGAAGCAATCGTAAGTCAATACAAATAAGCGAATAATACTGACAAATTCAAAGCTTCAAAAGTCATCATGAAGAGCCCACTCAAATTGTTTTGTAAAATGCTCTTGATGATTTCCAAAATGTAGTCTTGTAAAACAGCAGTAAATTCTCTACAAAGCTTAAGCAAACTGCAAGATTTTCTAAATATATATATATGTACAGTAGAAATCATTATTCTATCAGCTTCTGTACCTTTCAATCAAGGAATCGCACTTTCTAAAATTACGTCTTACCTGTTGAAATCGACGACGTTATCTTTTCCTTCGATCATAGCGGGGTCGAGAGCGTCTGCGCCATATTCAAATTGAATGACGTCGCCGGTTGATGAACGCACGGAGCTGTCATAGTGCAACATCATATCCTCTAGGGATTTAATCAGACGACGTTGCATATATCCTGCGTATAGCATTTGAGATTCAACTGTGTCAGTAAATTTCAAAAAGTGAGGCTGTCCTGTCACCTGTAGCAAGTGTTCAGCAGGCTACGAATTAATTCTGACAAAACTTCTTTTAAACATCGACTAGTAAACTTGAGTGAAATGAAAGGCCAAAAAGAATATCGCTCAGATAATAAATTCAACAATTTATCGTAATGATTTATATTTTAATATTTAGTTATTATGTTTCTTAGGACGCAGACTGTTAGAGTAGCCAGCAGCTTGAATTCACAGTAAACCAAATAGAATTGAAACACGCCTGCACTTTACACCTGTTTCTGCAGTTTTCACGGCTGTATCAACAAGACCTTCCCGTCCCGCCATCGTATGGAAGAAGAACTCGGTTGGAGTTAGGCCTGAAAAGAATGAGTCTTCCACAAAACCACGGGCATCAGGGTCCTTCGTATTCCTCTCGAAGTGTGGGAGCGATCGATCTTCGAAGCCATTACCCACACGGTGACCGGATATTGCTTGCTGTCCTACGCAAGTAGCCATCTGGGAGATGTTGATAAATGACCCTAAAAGCACATTGGGAAAATAATACCGAAGAGTGAGACGTTAATGCTTGTAAACAAACAAAATAATGAACAAATTTTTTTTTTAAAAATTTAAACAAACCTTTTGATCCGCACAATGCCATTATAAGAGGTGAACAGGTTTGGTGAAGCTCTTCTGTGCAAATGTTTCCAGTCTTATCTCGGATCGAAGACAACTCTTTGAGGCAGAGCGCTTCCAAGGTCTGTTCTTCAGAACAACCAGGCTGAGCAGGCAATGTACCCTGTTCTAACTTGCGGATGTACTCTGAGCATTTTGTGTAACCTACTCGAACAAGTTCCTTCTTCTGCGCTACCAGACTAGGTCCGGGGGTTACATCACCAATTCCTAAATAATTCAGTAGCAATATCGGAAACGCAAGTTTTGCAGTTTATCAGATGTTAACCCGAACATTATATCCAAATATATTTGTGAATTAGAAGTAAACTGTCCTTAAAGACGCAATGTAAAGTGAATTGAAAAAGAAAACGGTTTTATAACATAGAAGGTCATTTTAATCAATGTATGTCTAAAGGATATTTTTCGTACTGCGTCACATCGAGACTGTAACTCAGTATGCGCGAACAATTTAGTACCAATGGAAAAGCCTTTGGTTGACAAGAGAAAGTAGGCAGCTACTCTGGCTAATCGCCACATGGCGTCAGCGGCAAGTTGGGCATTATAGTCTCGAAGAAGCAGGTAAAAGATTGAGTTCTTTGATCCGCTGCCCATAGTGCCCTTGTCCATTCGTCCGCATAGAAGTTCCGAGTTTCGTATGATTACGTAATTATCGTTGGCGCACATATCCTCATCTAAAATAACGAAGCGAGCACAGCGGTTAGGAGTGGTGTAAGGAGATAGTTGTATTACATGTAGTTATTTAATATCATATTTAACCGTTAACGAGACAATAAATTACAATAGTAATAATAAATTTATACAAGCTAGACGCTTGGTCCGGAAGCCGTAAAACTATTATCTTTCTCATAGAATGCAATTGCCTCTTCAACTAGTGCCAATGCTCCCAGCACTAGTTTGTGATGTTTTGCACGCTCGACACTTCACTGCTTAGCATCACATCTGCAGCGTTTTTACTTATTTTGCCCTGGACTGTCCTTCGACGATCATTTCAAGATATAATTTGGGATTCCGCTCCATTCTTTTTTTTTGGTTCAACTTCGCAAAGCCCTTATTGAATACGTCGTGAAATGCTGCTTGTGTACAACCCATAAACGCATAATTCAATTCTCATTTTTACTGTATTTATTCCGCTCTTATTTTTTATTATAAAAATGACTGAGTCGGGAACGCTCGCTAGTGGCAATAAAATGGAAGAAGAGATCACCTACTTTTCGTATATTTCTTGTTTTTTGCACGAAGGTTAATTCGAACATTGCTCTCTCTGGAGGGCTTGAGAATTAGACTGAAAATTTGCTTGCCAGTCCACAAGACGCGCGGCTTGAGTATTGCTGGTCGAGGCAGTTCCACAAGTGTTCCGGAATCTCTTCCAGCAATCAACTGACTGATTAATTGACACGCCGTATCGCGATCAAACATCTCGTCTTTGTGTGTTAACAAATAACCACCTAAGGGTTGCCGAACAGAAGAAAAAGTTAACAAAATTTGAATTATTCGAATTCTTCTAAGGCAAATACATATTGTAATAACCATATATTTAGTGCTAAAAAAGGACAAACACAATCATGCGGGTTCTAAAAATTGAGTCACATATATACTGTTGACGTACTGTCGCCACCAATAGATAATCTTACTTTGTCATAAAAGTGGCCATACCTGTAATGAAATCCTGAATAGCTCCAATAAGTGGTTCTCCGTTGCGAGGAGTAACGATATTTGCCGTAGTAATCATGAGCGTTATAGCCTCAGCACGCGCCTCGTACGTTTGTGGCATATGAATATTCATTTCGTCGCCATCGAAATCCGCATTGTATGGCGTGCAAACGCACTCATTAAATCGCAACGTCCTGCAAAACGGCGAAAGATAAACGAACTCGGACACGTTAGAATTTCTGGTACTTTATGTTTCTTTCTTTCGAACTTTATGAATGGTACACCCGCCTTAGTTAAGCATTGCTTCAATCGACTAACGACCGTTTGAAACAAACCGTGTGTCTACACCCGGTTTCAAGCATAGACCGCCTTATGTGGTTGGCTCGTCGTAGCCTGGTATTCATTAGAGATAAACAATGTCTAGATTTTATTAGATCTGAAATATATTAAGGGGCAGCAAACATTAACTAGGCATAGTCCTCGTAGGTACTGAAGTCTGCTTTTAAAATTTCACATTAACTCAATTCAAATAAAGGAATTAAAAACAGAATTCACCTGTGGGGTAGAACAACTGCTTTGTGCGCCATAATGGACAGCTTGTGTAATGACGGCTGTCGGTTAAAAAGGACTACGTCCCCATCGCACAGATGTCTCTCAACCGTGTCTCCAACACGAAGATTTTGAGCGATCTGTTCGCGGTTACCGTACTTGAGGAACTTCTTAATCTTGTTTCTGCCTTCGATAAAGTTAGCACCGGGATGGACGTCAGGGCCGTTCTTAACAAGTTGACGCATCCGCTCTAAATTGTGACGGGTAACTAATTCGGGAAATGTGAGAATCTTTGCCATATGCACAGGTACGCCAACCTGATCGATGTGCAGATTTGGATCAGGCGAAATGACCGTGCGCCCCGAGAAATCGACGCGTTTGCCTGACAGATTTTGGCGAAAGCGACCTTCCTTTCCCTTCAACCTCTGAATAATGCCCTTGGTTGGTCGTTTTGGTGCCATGTTTTGTGGAACACCACTCATTTCGCCATTGACGTAAAGAGCGAATTGAAGTTGCAGGAAGTCCCGGTCTTCGACGATCATTTGAGGCTTGGCATTTGTTTGTCGATGGCGTTCGATAACGTCGTTCAAGAAGATCATTTCAGTCAGCTTCACTGTTAGGTCATCCTCATTCGTGCCAGCACTACGGATAATTTTAAAAAGAAGCGAAACTTAGTAAAGACTCGGTGCCAATTTATTTGTTTCTGAATATTACATTATTTACATCTGTTCTACAGTTCTCTTTACCCTGGTTTAGAGCCGTTTGATTAGTTGTTTCATTAAACTGAACTTCGACATATTTACAAAAAAAAAATGAATACAGTTGATACCTCTTTGGTGAATTTATGGAATATTTGCACCTTCTGGATTTCTGGTATTTATCATAGTAAACAAGACAGCAATCAAACACGCAGCTGACATTCTTGAAGCGAAAGTAACGGCTATCTGCAATTGCAACCAGCTATTTAAATACATGTTTTTTTTTTTCTTTATGATTATCTCGTTTAATGATTACTGTGTGGCACTATCTTAATTATTAGTAACCTATTAAATGAGCTACCGAAAGCTTGAAGCTACTGATGGTCGGATGCACAGCGGTGGAACTAAAACCCGAGTCTGAATCAAATTTTCTGGTCGGCCAATGTCAGCATTCATCAGAAGCAGAGTGACGTCGTGCTCCGGAACGCGCGCAAACAGCTGGAGACATTTGGTGGCATCCACTGAATCAATTTCTGAAACAGTATTTGTAAACATGAAATAAAGGTGAATTGTAACATTAGGGAAATGGCAACAATGTTTAGCATTTAATTTAAAATCACGCTGTAGAAAACATGTTTAAACTTAAAGTAAATATTTATAAAACTACTTAGTTAGAAATATCATCAAATGATTGACCCGATCAACAAGATTGAAATAATTGATTTCATGTTCAATTCACAGTTAATTTTATTTGCCCATTGTTGCTAATATTCTTTCGGTAAAACGTTTCAAATGCAAACAGCATGCACCAATACTCGAGATCAAACTTAGCTTTTCTAGTTTATGAACATTATCTAGAGATTTACAAGATGCATCGTCCTCTAACGCATCGACAGGCTGAATCAGTATTCTTTTAGTTTGCTTAGAAAAGCGATCTTTCCTAACGCAGGTTTATAATGTTTTGTAAGAGGAACTTTATAATAGAGTTGTAACAACACAGAGACCAAAGCAATATGTGAACTAAGGTAAGTGTTCCGTACTGTTCCCACCTTTGTCATCCGACTTTTTTTCATTGTCTTCATCATCACCCTCAGCCTCTCCTTTAACTTTTTTGCGAGAAATCTTATTGCGCGTCCGGTCATGCATAATTCTCAGCATGCCTGCCTTTTTCACGAATCCGTTCACGTACGTACAATGTGGGCAGGCTTTGCCTTGCATCTTACGGCATTTGTCAAGAATCTCATTATGCATATGTTTCTTAGCCACGTAGTCCAACTGCCGCGAAAGAATCCGCTGCCGAAACTTAGCTGTTAATATAGAAACATAACAATGCAATTGTTCCTATGTTAATATCATAATTATTCGTGTAGATAAAAATTTATCATACGTTAGAGATAAGAAAATTACAATTGTAACTTTTTACAAGACAGAAGGTCACGTTTCATGTGCTGACAAACGTAACACTAAATAAAGAACTATAATATAAATTGGAACAAAAATAATACTTGATCGATAATGATTGCATTTTTAGACACTGTATTCACAAGTAAAAAAAAAAACCAAAGTTCACCTTTGTCATCATTGGAAAGTAGGACACTGGCGCAATTTTTGCAGATACACTGTAAGATATTGATGCATTCACGGAAGAAGCCGGCGTGAAAGACAGGACACTCGAGATCAATGTAGCCAAAATGTCCAAGACAATCTGTCAAACCTTTGCCGCACGTCTCACAAACGCCGGCTCGATTTGAGGTTCCTATTGGGACAGCATACAAAATCGCAGAAAAATCAAAACTACAGCAGGTCAGCTTCGTTCCTGTGAATTTGTAAAGGTAACACTGATACTGTAAACGTACGTAAGGCATCTAATTGGTCCCCGTTCGTAATACATAGGCCTCTAATCAATATATGAGACCTGATCACTATATATTGTAATCATTCGTAAGTATGAAGAAACGTCATTATACAAAGGATCCTTTTTGCCGTACAGACCCAGCTTAGGATCGAGAACTCCAAATGGAGCAGCCTGTCTTCCCTTTGACTGATCTTGATTGTAGAGACTTTTGTTGACACAACGAATATGAGACATCGCGCCAATCTCGTCGGGTGTATGAACCCCAAACGCCATCTGACGAACTTCGACAGTCTCACCCGTCGACCGATACTGCTCCTTTGGCATTTTGGCAGTCTCCTATATAAAGAAAACAAACCCCTGCATATTAGCCTTTTAATAAAACAGGTTCACCAATTTTATTTATATAAGTTGATTTTTATAAGTTATTTTTTAAGTATATTATGCTTTTATTATAAGGGTAGCCTAAGAAAAAATTCCAACTTAGTGAGCGCATTGACTTGCACACTGGTGCGTTATCGAGCATGAGCATGACGTCCCTCGTAACCTGCTTGTTTTCCGCATGTTTCATCTTTCAGCGTCAGTCTTTTCTAAATTAAAAGTAATTAATTAATACCCCCCGCACTAAGAAACTGCACATATAGTTTTCCATTACAGTGCTTAGAAATGATTTTGCATGGGAGACTAAATATAATTATTTAACTCAGTGGAGAGATCATAAGTAAACCAAGTCAAACGTACATTGATTGTCCGAGCGACCACGGAGAATAGATATTGGGCCAGTTCGCAACAAGAAAGTGTAAGATTTTAAAAAAGGATTCACTAATCTGACTAAAATGCGACGCTGTTGATACCTAGAACATTAACCTATTGCGCTTTTCCAAACGCCAAAATAAAGCAGTCCAGGCCAAATTTTTTGTTTGCAATAATTCTCGCCAGATTGGCTCGTCCATTACATCAGTACCAAAACTTAACAACTGAAACACAACTTAGCAGCGTTATCTACCGTCATAACATCAAACCTCCCTTAATACAGTATACATTTAACGGTGTATACAAGTATTTGCAACTGACTGCATTGTCAAGATCATTAATATGTAGCTCATTCCTTTAATAAATACGTTCACTTAATTAGCCCGTTCTAGGCTTGGTAATCAATAGACATTCTCAGCACGCTATCATTGTCCAATGAACGGAATCATGACGCTTCGCAAAATCATGATATAGTCTATACAGAAGCATTCGCACATGTCGTCGAATAACAATACACGACACACGAATCAACAGATTTTACCGAGCTTTTTACTTTACTGTTACTGAAGTGCGGCGTAACGCCGAGTAGAACTAGGCGCCGAAGTACGTGAAGTGCCCTAATTAAACCATCACAACAACTTCTGGAATCAAACTCCTCGCACTCCGTCTAGCCGGCGCATTGCCACTGCCCAACAGAACGTACTGTTTTATTATCGAACAGCGAGAAAGGGATAGAGCGGAACACGTCTGTTTATTTATGTTTTGTCATCGGAAATCGACACGATCCAAAGAAAGAGTACGTGTATGTTGGCTGCTGTCTGTTTCGAAACAACTCGTTGTGGCGACCCGACACCGCCGAAATCGAACGGCGAGAAGCTGCTATAGGTATTTCGAAATAAACTAGCAATCTTTATTAGGAAGTGTGTTCAATAGCTTCCTGCAAAGCAAGCTTCGTGTGTAAAGCAGTTGCCTCTCTACACGTACTGGATCAGATTATCCTGTGGACGAAACATTGGAGAATAAACTATCCCTACTAGCTAACTGTTTAGTGGTAAAAAAGATAAGGCATGGTCATATTGCGGGGAAGAATTTGATTCTCTCGCCGCACATCCACATATATATATATATATATATATATAAACAAAGTGTAGAAAATGGGCAAATACTGCAAAAACAACGATTAGTCTACAGGAATTGAACCATGACTTTTTCTTCGCAGTTTAACGAAGTTACGAATTAAGCGATTGCTGGTACATTTTTCTCTTGCATCTCTAGGCATTTTTAAAGAAGAGTTGCACCGTGTAAAAACTGCTAGTACTTAAATAATGGAGCTAAGATTTTATTGCTTTGTACATACTAGATTACTTGTGCATTTACTTATTTTAATAGTGAATGGCATATTTGCGCAAATTAAGCCAACTTAAATGAAATTATCTGCGTTCTGCGTATCTTTTTTGCGCTTTGATACCTTTTTAATATTCTAAAACTTTTATTTTTAATAAATGATTACGCTGACCGTTATAGTTTGTTTTTGTTACTCTTTAATAAATGGTAGCGTCTTTTCATAGAGCTTTGAAGAAAATTTGCTTTACTCTTGCAGCAACTATGAAGCACAGTAAGCAAAACCTAGTTTTGTCTAGATGATTACTATGATTTTTGATTGGTCAAAACATAGTGTCCGCTTCTTCAAATCTTCCGCTGTTCTATTGGTACTATCTACCGGAAACTCCGTTTTGTCGCTATCAACTTGTTGTAATTTGACCGTGCGATAAATGGAATTTTACTGCAGTTTTAAGACGGACGTTTCAGAAAAAAAGAAACTGCACTTTAGGTTTTCACCTGCCATGATTCTTGGGGTAACCCTGTGTTGTGTATGACATGACACTTTAGTCGAAAAATCTGTTCAAAAACGATTCGCTAAAGATGGCATTAGAGTGTGTTTTTTTGTTCAGGTCTGCCATTCGAGATTAGTGAAAATAGCCGAAGGCAAGATGACTTGTCGATTGATCAAAAGAGTGGGTTGCAAGGATCCCACTATTATTAGACGTTAGGTCTTAGAAAATGACCGTTAATAAAAATGTGTATTTGACCCAGCTGCACTGACAAAATAAAGCCATGTAACAGAAAGGACTTGCTACGCAAGATAATCTTTGTCAGTGAAGATAGCGGATTAGCAGATTTTCTGGCGGTCAGCGTCTTTATAATTTGATGGAAGCGTTGCGTTTCCTGCTAAATTAAAAACTGACATTATTTTCTAATTAGTTGAATAGGGAATTCGGATAAAGCAACTATTGTAGATTATTTGCTGTCGTTGAGATCGAATTTGGGATTTAGAAATAAAATTTCTGAGCTAAACCTATACGCTATATTTACCACTTTTCTTAAAGGTGCCGACAACCATTATTTTTTTATACTCTTGATTTAGTGAGCACCGCTCCTGATATTGGTAAGAAAAAATTAAACTGTTTCAAAAAAAAGAAATCCCACGATTCGACGGTAATTGTTTCCACGTACGGAGCCGTTGCTATCAAACAAATGCCATATTTTACTACTATTATGGCTTGTATATTTTTCCGGCTTAAAATTGACATTAATGGGAATATAGCCTCGTCTATTGATGCAAATTTCCATTTCAAGAAATCGCATTTAACACAGAAGCGGTTACGTGCAGTTTTTTTATTTTTTTTTAATACCTTAATATATTTAAATGTTTTCTCCACATTTGTGCCATGTATATAAGGGTTTGTCCACCGTATCAAAACTAAAGCCGTAGTAAATACAATTGGTATATCGTTTTAAACCATACTAGTTCAACGGATTACTACCGAATTCTAATATAGTTACCTCTGAGTACACGTATATGGCGACACCGTGGCTCACCTTGCCTAAACATACAAACTTTACGAACTTTTTGGCGGCAAGGCTTTAGGGTGGCGCATATTCTTCTGATCTGGGTTTACTCAACCCTGTTTAAGAATTGGCTGCGTGCGTCGACCAAACAGGCAGGAATTTGTTTCCAATTATCTTTGATAAGCCACCGATTCGCGGCCAAGATTCCAGGCTTTAACACTACCCTATTATCTCACAAGACGATAAAACTCCGCCGTTCTCACAGGACGGAGAGCATTCTATGAAGATTTTCCCGTTTGTTGAAGTTCTAAAAAATAAACCTACTCAACAGCGACGAGAACCTGTGCAAGGGTAGTGACCGTCAGTTCCCCCCCGATTTCCTCGATCGTCCTCCTATGTGAATGTATCCATACAGATCATTCCGACCTCAACCTTGTTAGATCAAGCTTTGTACTTGTCATCAAATCGTTCGGAAGGAAATATAGTCGAAAAACACGATCAAAGAGATTTTCCGCGTGCCTCCACCCTTTGTTTCGTTGTGATGGGCGTGGACGGTCTGGCTGACTAATAAAAAAAAGCGTGTTAAAAAACGGTTCCCACGCTTCAAAAAAGCAATGCATCTGCTGTTACGAGTGTATTCTATCGTCTATCCCACGCTGAAATCCTACACGCTAACCAAGTCTCTATGGTCTTTTGAAAAAAGTTTCTGGAAATCGGCTTGCTTCGTTTGTGAGTGCCTTTTGTTCGTACGGTGCTCTAGTGCTCTCGTTGATTCTACCTCTGCATCGTTTGCCTGTATGAGACTTTCTTTGTCGGCATCCATTTCTGAAGGCAATTGTTGAGTCTGTGGACGAGATTATTTGAGTGGCGGTATTTATGCTAGGAGCCGATTCCGTTAAAGCTCACCCTGGAACGTCTTGAAAAGACTCGAAGCGAAGACAAAACTAGAGAACGATTGTGCAAAGTCGGCCAGACTAAAAGCCGAACCCGTAGGGGCGGTATAAGATAAACAAGAAGCCGTAAATCTAACTGAAAATAAATAAAAACGCAAGATTTAGGATCAGAGATCGCTGCTAGCTGAACTACGTTAATTGTTGTAATGGATGATAACTTCTATCGGAACGAGACAAATATTGGCAATTAAATCGCGGCCTGATACTTTTTGTGGCGATTTGTTAATTGTGTGTAATTGTTTATTTCTGTAAGTGCGGTGAGCCCTGCATGTTTACGTTTTTTGCTCCAAAAACACAGAACTCATGACACATAACAATCGTCAACAACACCCGATTTAGGTCACATAAATCAGCAGTTAAATCATATATTGTGTTCATAACTATTAAATTCTTTGGTATTCTGCAGAAAGCTAAATAGCGATGTATGAATATTTTTCTTTAAACTTTTACGCTGTTCCCCGGTATAAAAACAGACTTTTGTGCTGTTCTAAATGTTTGCTATTAAAATTATTAAATTGTTGTTGGATTGTTCGTTGATCTGCCTTATACACCATTATTGCAAAAGAAAGCAAATGTTCACATGTTTAATTGTCTAAAACAGACCTTGTGAGAGCTACTAATCTTCGAAACAAGTGGATTGTCCTTCCTAAAATCTTCGGACCGCATGGACGGACCGCATCACGGATGCAGCAATTGTTCTATAGCGTACCTGGACTTTTTCCTCAATTAGTTTCCTACGCAGTACCTACTTTTTCAATACGTTTTTCAGTGTTACATACTTCCTCTGTGTAAACAAAAACGCTCTCCGGAAATTGATTAACAAACGCAGTTAGTTCAGCAGATAGTATAATGGTTAGTGTTATGTTCAAGTTTTTCAAAGAGGGAGCACAATCTGTATACGATCTGTGGCTAGCAACCTCAGCAAAGCTATGTATAAAGCCAACAAGGTACATTTTATTTTTAGGACGACATACATGCAATAAGTAAGATATAATGAATTCAATTCAACACGATTGTGTTGGATAGCTTTAGAAATATTGCAGAACATAGCGGAATTAATATGCTTATAGCAAACTGTCACATCAAGTAATTAATTCAATCCAAATACAAATTTAATGAAAAAAGCTCAACGAAAAATTTACTAATCGCTAATTGTTTACATAAGAAAGTATTATAAACAGGATTAAATCAAATACAATATATTTTTTACTAACAAATGTGTAAGTTTTCTGTTAGCTTTAGTGATTTAAGGTTATACAGAAAGAGGCAAAAATTATCTGAAGGTTTGAAAGTTTTTTACTTGATTTGTTTGAGGTTCTTCTGCTAAAACCGACAACAGACTTTTGCCCATTCTGTATATCGACAACATGGTGTTTGCTCGCTCAGATGCTTATTCTGTGCTGACCCCTATACGAGGTGTGCTGTACTATAAGCCGCCAGTGCTCTTTGTCAGTACTTCCGGACAGTAACTACTGACAAGCGACCGCAGACATAAAACCGCCGTACGTAGAGCTCAACGACGAAGTGACATAGTAATATGGCTGGCAGAATGTCGACCATTAATACAGCTATAACAATGAAATTGGGTTTCAGACGAATCCATCGTCGGTTGACTAAAATAACGAACAACGCTATGTTGCTATGACTTCGCGGTTACAGATAAGAAGGCAGAATCAATGATGTGGTAAGAAGCCGGTGCATCCCCTAATATATCGTAAAAGACCAATGAGGCGTCCGTTACGTCCGAATTAGCTCTTTATTGTTTATATTTTTGCATTTTCTTACCATATAAATATGCGTATCTTTACAGTTTGCACCTATTGGCTTCGTAGCGGCTTTGTCTAGTCCAAAATAAGAATGCTACATATTGATCTTCTCTAGTGTTCTAATTTGTTTTTACAATTGTTCCTCCAAAAATGGTTTGTACCTTAAGAAAAACCTATCGGGCAATTCGCAGTCGAGCACACGATGGATTCCAGTCGATGGTATGGCGAAAATATAAGACAGCATCGTATAAAGTTAAGATTAACACAGCAGATAAATACAGTCGGTATGATAGCGTAATAAACCTGCGGTAATACTTGCAAGCGCAGTGGTACTTCGCTAAAGTTTAATGGTATGATTGAGACAGATCATGGCAAAGGTCCTCGTTGAACATTCGTCTCGGTTAGGGCTTGTAGAATGGTAAATACCACGTAGAAAGGTAAAATATGCAATATTAGTCAATGTATTCTTTGCCGAGCATTTTTATTTATAACGTATAACGCTATCAGACGTCAAGGCTTACGTGGTACGTGAATTTTCGGTGTCGGAAAGGTTTCAGCAACAATGACAAAAGACATAGCACATAACCGAAAAAAAAAGCCCGAAATTGAGCCGCTGGACTGCTTTCCGATCAAAACAAATTAGAGCAAGCAATGACTCTTCTGTTGTGACAATGTTTATAACATCGCTACCTTGGAATTGGTTTGCCGAAGGTTATAACGGGTTCATCTGTTCTGGATATGAAATACAGAGATTCCTCTATGGTGGCAAGTAGGCTAGAGACTACCAGAAAACAGCGGGCTACACGAATAAATAGATCAATAAAAAACTCTTTTTTAGTAATGTCGCCTTTTATTTAGTCCTACTCAAATTATCTTAGGTATTACATGTTTAACAGGTCTCGCGTTTTTTAAAAGGTTTATATATAAATCCCGGGTACCAGGGCTCATCTTTAGTAATTCGCCACATGATACCGAAGGGCATTTGTTAACTGCGATGTTAGCCAAAAACATTTCCTTTAGTAAGCACTGTGAATTGAGCCTGTCTCCTCAGGTGCGGCTTCGACTTTTGACAGTTATAAAAGACGTTTCCACAAAAATGTCATTTTTATCAATGAAAATCAATGCCGAACTCACCTAACCTGCCTGATATGAACTAAAATCATGCTGATTCGATGTCATACCCCTAAACCTTACCGCTGTGGTGCACAGGAATTTTTCCGCCATTGGTTAAGTGTTATGATTCAGTTTGAGCGTCTCGCTTTCAGAGTAAGAAAATTCCAACTTATTGTTGCCAAGTTTTCCTATTCATCAGTCAGAAGCATGTACTTATTATAGTACCGTTTTTGTCGTTTAGAAGGACCACTACTGGTAAGGCTGACACATCTGTACCTATCGATAACAAGCAAACATTAATTCTCGTAGTGATCTATGAACGTATGTGAGTATGCGCGCCAGTATGAAATCACTTCCGTCACCCATCTTCTTAACCACAAAGACCACTTTTATTCTCAGACAAACAAATGTAGCTCAGCCAAACTCGATCTTCCCCGAAAGACCTCAACTGTTTTCTACTAGATGTCAGTATCACCTGTCGGTCATAAGTTGGTCTCCAGGCTTCGGTACACATACTTCTTCCTTTATTTGGACACGCTGTTTTTGCTACTCCTTTCATCTTCAACACACAAGTATCTGCCTGCACACATCTTGACGAGAATTATGCGCGCGGTGTAAACAACGTGCTCCCTATCTTTCCCCGGACTTCCAACAGTGGAAGTAAGGAGGCAGGTCGATTTACGTGGTTTCTGTGGGAACGCCGCCGGACCTAACCGCAGGATCGACAGCTTCCCAGATAAAATCCACCCCAGGGAGTCTCTCGGCCGTCACCGAAATGCTAGCCGTCTGTGAAACTCCCAGCTATTTTCGGTAGGCGCATTGGCACTCTCCAACGAACGAACTGCTTACGCGCACCCAATTGCTGACCGCAAAGCCCGCAGCTACGGCGATAGCGATTCGTTCAAATGCTGGAGCAGCGAGCGATGAAAGAGAGAAGCCAGCCAAGCAAATGCACATAGAAACATTACCGCCTGGCATAAAGGTATGAGGCACTGATACGGGGAATAGTTGCGACATGGTCTACGCCCACCGCAATGCTGAATTGCAACTTCTTGATGGAGAATCATAAAGATAGAAATAGTGACTTAATGGACTTGATCCTGTCGAAGTCTAGTCCTTTGACGGACATTTAAACGCTATTAAACATTTCTAAATTATAACTTCTCTATTTTTTTTTTAGTAATTTACTTGAAGCCGTTATCATCAGCTGCTAGACAGGGCTCTCCTCATTTAACCCCAGTATTTAAATCCGAATCGAGTTAGACTGTGCTACCATCAAAAATACCAGGCACGCCCCAATTGCGCGTTGTATCCATCGAACCTTCGACGGTAGGAAGTGACGCCATAGCTGTCCTCCTCTCCACTCGAAGTCAGTGACAGAGCGGCTGGGAGGTGCTTAGTTCTCCAATGGGCGGAGCCTCTCAGCTGCGAGGGAATGGCTGTACGATTATTTGCTCTGACACCGACGGAGACCGGGCCAGAGCACACTGCGCGTGCGTTAATCCACACGACAAACTGTTCACCCCGACCAAAGAAAGCCCGATACTCACCAGAATCGGCGCTTGCTAATCGCTTGTATGCGCTGGGCGATTTTTCATGTGTTTTTCATGCTGCTGTACTGCACTCCATCGACTGGTGACGTTTATGCAGCTATCTTGTAACAAAAACAATAACAAACGACTAAGAGGCAAAATAGCCCCTGCAAGACCAAATGCGAATCGCATCAAACCGGCGAGTCCGTCAATTGCGTGTGGCTTGTTCGTTGTGTACGTATGTATGTTTTGGTTGAAATTTGCTTTTGTACTAATTGTGTTTGAATACTGATGCATGATTTTGAGGGATCAAGTCAAAACTCTGAAGAAAGCGTAAAGAAACAGGTGTGCAAGAAGTCGCGAATATCGTTTAAAAAATAGACTATTTCTCTGCGTGTTCGTCAATCCATAGCGGAGCGTTCGAATAAACTAGCGTTTCAGTTTACTATACCGGCAAGCAATTAGGAAACGCGCGCGCCGCCAGCGTTCTATGTTGCTCTCACGCAAGAAAAAACCGTAGTGCTGTTCCGGCTGCTGTGTTGTATAGTGCGTTGGGCGCCGTTAGTTGGACTTGTGAAGGTCTACCAGGGGGGCAGCGGCTCTCCCGAACCCCTTGCCAAAGTGGCGTTACTAACTTCGTTTCCGGCGGATGCTGCGGCCATGCTTCCTTACGAGCAGCCCACGATCTTTGAGGACCTGGCGAGGTGTATGCTAAACGTACCTCGGGTGGTGCTCAATCAACGGGCAAAGTTCGAAAGTGACGATCTGCTTAAAAAGTGCGCTCGAGAAAGTGAGGTAAAATACACGGGGTACAAAGACCGGCCCCGTGACGAGCGCGAATATCGGTTCAAGCTCGGTCTTCGAGAAGGCAGAGTGGAAGTGGTACGTACGAAACGGTCGTCATCTTGTGCATGACGGTTTAGACTATAAAACAAAATCCGTATAACGTCGCAACTGTCTCGACCTTTATTGAATAATAACACAGACTACGTTTTTTTTTTTCAATTTAATATATCGCTTTTTCTTGTAGAATAGTTAAGCATCTGCCTTTACATATCAACTTGACCTGGGTCATGCCTAGGACTTTGCCATTAACGATTTGGGTATACCGTGTATCATATTGTGCGCCAAGGTCTCTAGTTGAAAGTAACAGTAAAAACGGTGCTTTATATACTAAAGATCACAGCGGAAACGTAGAATCGATTGATATTTGCGTATAAAACATATGCACTGATATTTTTTAACAATGAATAACCGCTCAACAGCGTCTCTGATTTCGCAAAAAAAAACAAACGAAGGATTGTTTGGCTTTTTTTTGTTGTTTGCAACATGTCTAAACCTTACAAAAATCTAGGTATTTTGCAACGACCTATTTTTCAAGGCTATTCAATTAAGTGACACGCTAATTACACCCTGATGACAGGCTCTCTGAAACCGATAGGGTGACAATAAACAGGTGCCCGGTTTTCTCATATCCAGCATCCATACACGCGCATCATACGTCGTACACGTATCGTCCAGGAGCAAAAACAACCTAATCTACCGGTGGCCATTTAGTCAAGCGAGACGTGTCTGTATTGGGGATTTTTCGCTCTCTGTTTGTAACCTCAAGCCTTATGTAAACGTGTTTGAGTAGCGGCCAAAATTTTGTCGTTATGGCACTATTTATAAATGTGCTAATAATAATAATGATGAACAGGTATCATAACAAAACTATGCTCGGTCGCATTATGCAGAAATTGTCCTGCTATTGAGAGCATAATTGATTGAATATCGGCGTTAAAGGTAACAAACAAATAAGTGCAGTGGCCAAAACGAACTCATTATTATATAACACTACCATCTTAAGTACCATCGCAACAAATCCCGTACAAATTTAAACGGTATCCATAACAACTATATCTATCTAAAGCGATATTTTTCTACGTAATCGTTTAGATCGATTATAACATGATGCTAGAAAATTGTAGTTGTCTTAATAATTTCATAGTCTACTATAGATCCTGAACGAAAAACTCTCTAGCTATAACTGACAAATCCAGGGAGCAATGTATGTATCTGTGTTTATTTTCGTTACTCAAGCAAATATTTGAAGTTAATTACGGAAATATTGCATTTGTGACTGCGTGCACTTCGCTCCCGAGACCCGTTTAGAGGTTTCTCAAATTTAGTTATCTGATATAAACCCAAGTTTACTTGTGTATATCAGCCTAATCAGCATCGCTCTGCCTAGTCAATCGGTCGATCAGACAGATCGCGTACGGTTGTACCACTACGTTGTAGCGCTTATTAAATAGGCGCAGTGCAAGGTCTCCTTAGGTACCTATATATCACATGTTCATTGTATGTGAACCGTATTTAACGACATGCTAGGACATCTGAACGTCGAAGGGGGGCACAACGCATTGGCATGGAACCAACTTGCCTATTTAGATTAATAGTAATGAGAGCGATGTATGTATATGCCCTTGATCACAGACGAGCAACTTGGCAAAGATGTTGGTCTTGGCCAAATTTTTCAATTATGGTATTTTATAGTCCAGTTATAGTGTATTGCCTAACTGTAGAGTGAAAACCTTTTCAGGCATACACGGCTCACGGAACCAACCTTCAACTGGCGTTTCCCGGCTGCGCGACTGGTTTTTCCAACGAGTATTGCGATTTCAACAAGCAACCTGGAAGGGTGAGTCAGTTCTATGAATTGGTTTTAGCTATCTCATGTAATGAGCAAATGTTTGTCTGGCCTTAATGTATTTTACCCGAAACTTCCCAAGCGAAACCTAGCCATTAGTGATTAATATTACCCGTTAACCGTTTAGAGCAAGTTAACGAAGCGACAAATCGTACGCTTGACGTTTACTGGAATACGTTGCATTTCTTATTTAATTTCTATATATATATATATGACGTTCCAGTCGGACACCTCTGCTGGCTGTCATTGTTTTTGACATTTATAGTCACGCTTCAAGCTGGATTCAGTGGACCACGACTCTCCCCATAGTTAGTCGTTTACTAAAACCAGCCTCGAGGTAGCTTCATGTGTCTCGCGTTCGGGTATTTACCTTCAAATCATTCCCAGTTCAAGGGTTCTGAAGTGTACGATATGTATACTGGGTTACACTGGGCTTTTCAAATGTACGGTGCAGCTAAAACCAACTGGGCAGCGGAACGTGAAATCGGCCTGACTTAAGCAGGAGCCCAAACAAGCCCGCGCATTGTTTTCGGGATAAGCAGTCAGTTATTCGAGTGCGGTAGAATGAAATACTCCGATCCGACCTAGACGGTTTTGCTACTGAGAAGTTCACTGAGATTCGATTGGTAAGCTCGATTAAATAAGACAAGCACTAGGACAGACTGGAGCTATATGAAAAGCATTCCGGGTAGGATACTGCAGCGCGTCAATAAAAAGTATGTTCGCTCATTTCATTTCGCTAGTCCTGCTGCTAGATCTAATGGTTTAGGCTAATTGAACGGACTAATTGTGTCTATGACATGATCCTTTGTTGACAACTCGGAAATTGAACCGGGTCATGCTGTAAAAAGTCCATAATACGAACCGATCCTGTTTTACGATGCATCGGTGTCTAGGAGAGGATCCAAGATGCGATCGCACCTCATAAATTTATCTGATTCCAAGTAGGTCTACGTTTGCAGTATACTCAAACTACCAACTTGATAGCATATAGCTCCTAGCGTTTCGTTCTCAGTGACGCTTTCTCCCGCTGCGACTTCCTCTAAGCTTATTGTTATATATGTTCAATAGTCATGTGCTTCTTTGGCCCAAAGCCGACCTCAGAGATGACATAGATGTACTGCAGCATACAATTAGACACATTAAATTCAATTGCCATCTAATTGGTGTGGCCCTTCAAAGAATCTTGCTTCGTTTGGGCCGGCTTGATCAACGCTCCTCCTTCGCCAGGTGGAGGCGAAAGACCGCCACGCCGCCTCCTCTAAAGGCAACTTTCGGCATTGCCCGACGAAACGAGATTCACAACTGGTGGTAGCAACAGCAATCATAATAGCAAGTAAGACACAGCGTCGCCTGGTGATACGGGCCACACATCGAGTTCAGTTGAGGTCGAACCAATATCGAAGCTCGAACGGGTACTGATAACCTTCAGGAAATCCATTGGAGAAGGAAAGAAGCGGCCGCCTACAAGAAGTCTGCCTGATGAAGGTTGCGGCCAAAATGTTTGTATTGTCTATAGTGAACATCAGAGGCGGAAAAACGCTCCGCCGGTAACGCAGAGTTTGCTCGCCTTTTCTGTTACCTGAAATTGATGAGTGACGAAAATTCGTTGCGGGTTTGTCTGTTTTTCTGTGAACCATGCGAAACAACGACATACTCAGTATGGCAGGCGGCAGTGCGGCATTTTGTCGAGGCTTCGGCCCTCAAGCGAGGATGCGGTAAGGAAGCGAACCTGACCTCAAAAGTTATATATAACTATCTGAGTAACAAATATTTGTCTCGAACGGTGCTGTACGGAGATAATAGCAAAAGTCGCTTCTGTAGCATACTGACGAACAAGAAGTTATCGAAAAACGCAAGATAGCCAGAGGCTCACACAGTTGTCAGCCAAACGCTGAGGCTGTTGTACTGCCAATCACGTATCTATCCCGGGACTGGGTTTATTTTCTGTCTCAGACCTGCCACTATCAGAGCTGTTATCCTACTCATTTTTGAAATGCTATACGATTTCCCTTACTTTTTTCTATATGTCCTCATTTAGCTAGCTGTATGCGGATGATACAGTGCTTTATCTGCACCACGATCTCGTTTTCCTTCGGGTAGAAACTGCGAGAGTTTTTAGTCCCCCACTAAAATGATATGAGGCAAAGAGAGGGTGAGCACTTTTGTCTAATATCTTTTCGGACTCATCTGCCTATCTCTGACGGCCGGCAAACCTTTGCATCTTCCACTTACCTAACTACAACTGTACGATAGCCTACGATCAGTTATGTATTAGTTGTTTTCGTAGGCTCTCTGTCCTGTTCATCTAGTGTGGCGAGTCAGTCACAATTCCAAGGGCAGTCCCACGACCCAGCGTCGTTAAGGAAGAAATGATGTCATCACTTTTATACTCTAGTACTACTACTAAGTACTTCTACAAGTACTATGATGTACACCGGCACCGCTTCCCCTTGGAGCCTTATATGTCCTTCATATTTACTCAGGCTAGACAGCCTAGGCCTTGTGTTATCAGGCGCCGAAGCCACTGCTGCTGGGAAGATGCTTTCGCCCATCGAGGACATGGCTGGCGGGTGAAATCTTTTCGACGATGGCGAACAGCAACATAAATGTAAGCAATACTTGTCGTCCACAGAAAGAAAACTGGCTAGACTTGTTCCGATAGTAGAAGAGGCATGCGCCTCATAGGCGCACCGTGTTCTTCGCACGGTGTGCCGCTTTTCTTGGCGGCACTTTGAATTCTTCCCTGTTACTCCTTACTGGGCCCATGTACCGAGTGGTAGAAAGACACAAGGTCGAGATATGGCGAGCAACAACAGACACTCTCCGTGTATAGGCATGTGACACAATCAACGAGTTCGCAATGGCTAGCGGGTGACAGGATCGCTCTAGAAAGTTGCCTATCTACAATCCAATGATGGGTGCTGTGACGACGTTCGGTACGAGGCGAATCACCTGGGAGAGATCAAGCTGAGCTAGAGATTATTATTGGGAAACGAGACATCCGTCGGTGGGACACACACAAATCCGGCAACTCCCGCGACTCTCCGGCATCGTTGTCCGAAATGCTGGAACTCCTACTATAGTCTGACGCGCGAGCACTGGGAAGCTGAACGGCAGCTGAAAGCACGTGCGTGCCCTGGGCGATCTGGGAAGTAGCATAACTATGGCCCTGCTTTGTTCCTTATTTATATTTGAAAGGTGAATTAGCGACGTATGTACATTTTTAGATTCTTTAGGGATGGTGACTTCTCTAATGGAAGTAATCACTTAGCGAAGACTCGTAATGATTCGTGTGTGTCGTGCCGAGGTGGGCACCATATTGCGCATCTGGAACTAGCATTGCTATTGAGCGCACAGCTTGAGTGAGTAGTGCACGCTGCAGACGATATTGTAATTTGTTACTTACCGTGCACAAAGAGTGATCATGATAGACTGACTCTGCGTAGTCCGAGTACTGCTAAGTTGCTGCAACGAATTGTAAAAGAAGTTTTAGCAGCTATGCATGTTTTTCAAGTTCAAGAAAGCTTAGTTTTATCTTCATTCAGTTATTGCTCGTCACTTCCCGCGCAATCTATTGCATGACACAGTTTATCTAACCAGGATCTACATCTCGACGATAGGAAAGAACTCCGTAATAGGAGTTTATATCATGTAACCTTTTTCCATGAAACTATGTATATGGATATTATCAAGTATGGCCTACAGGCGTCATCGCGTTTCTTTAACATTTTGCTAAAGTCTTTTGCATCCGATTTGTTTCCAAGTTAATTTCGGTTCCCATCGAAGCGCGCACGCATTCTGTACCTTCAGGCGGGTGGCCCTTCGGCACTGGTTCCTCAGCAATTTTCCGCCAACATGTGTTGTCTACATGTCTCGTCGTCGAATCCAATGACGAATTCATATCTTTCGGTCACGTGTAGGGGATTTTAAAATCCCCTGTCATGATCGGAGTGCCTAGCCCCACTTCAGTCCTACCGTTCATAGGCCAACCTTCCTTCGGCGCGACTCCCCTCCTGGAGTTCACCTCCGTTCATCACCATTCTTGGACTCGCCTTTCTCTTTCGTTCTACCCCATAGCAACTACAGCATGTCCGAGCAACTCCAGCTTTGCCGACTTATAAGGGCAACTTCCTAAGCAAAGCCCAGCGGGCGATTTGAGACGGGATTCCATAGCCTGGCGAATGCGTTTTTTGACACGAACGTGATTGTAGTAATTATTTTGGCATTAGCTTGTACTTGCCGCCGAAGGGACTATGTTGTGCAGCAGCGGAGCCAAACTCGGGAAATAGTCTCCCTTGAGGAAGCTCGGAGCGGTGACTGAGTCAGAGGAATCTCTGTTCCTTCTCAGATCCTGTTAGCCGCGCTTGAGTACCCCTGGCGCGTATGCTCAGAGCTAGCAGGAGCGATCCACGCTGCGAGTACAGCCATTGCATTTCGACTTCGACTCACCTCGAATATCTTTGGCCTGACTTCGGCACACACAGAGGCATTTCTACATATGGTGTTTATATACAGTGTCGCTAGAACTCAACTAGAGTTGAGGTAACAATGAAGGGTCGGTACATTGGCGTCAGCAGTAAGAGTCATCCTCGTAAATACTAAATAAGCATATACCGTGCACTCGTCTAATATTCGACTACTATCACAATAGTTTGTCTTGAATAAAAAAAAAAAACTTCAGGTTGGCCTAATGTATACTGTAAACATTATCACTGAGGTATTTTCAGGCTATCCCTGGCTGTTTCAGGCTGCGATGTTCCGCCCGAAACCAGCTTAAAACGATAACACCAGCAAATTACAACTTCCTCACAAATAATAGTATAGCTTGCTCTTCAAAACTGACTGTTGAAAGGAGAGCTAACGGTTCGGTGTACATACACCGTTGAATCCGCATCATCCGGTTTATATATCTGTGCTTAGCCTACGGACTTGGCGAGCCTTTGGCGAGGACTTGGCCAGACCCCGCATAAAAAAGAATACCCTTGCCA